ATTGCACCGCAATAGGCACTAAAGAGGTCATCTCCAATGGTGTACTTCGAAAGGCACAAAGGAGGTATAATTTTCCAACACTGTACCCCGTTAGGCATTAAGGAGAATATGCGCTATGATCTTATCACCACACTCCAATGAGTGAATTCCCACCCCTATAATCATTGTTTTTGAATAACATAAGTTCCTCAGTTATAACAATGTCCTCAATATACAGCATATATTATAAAATATGAAATCATATGTTATTCATTTATTTGATCAAAAGTCATTTCATGTAACATTCACGAAAATGCTATGAACATTACTGGTTTAAAATAATTTCATGCAATAGATAGCATACTCACCACATGTATAATAAATAGCTAAGTAGAAAAAGTTATCCAATTACCTCAACCCTTTTGTCACTAGAAAAGTTACCCATAGATTTCTATTACCATAACAAACTCTTCTCAGCTTTCCTTTCTCAACTCATATGCACAAATATCAATCTAAATACAATTAGCACAATTTAGTCAATTGATTTAATTTGACCAAAAGTATAATAATGATTACTTATGGCTATATAACCATCTATTCTTTTTCATTTATCCATTTTATATCCATTGCTACTCGATTACTATTTTACATCCCTCAACTAGTCTCATGTTAGTTAAACAAGATTTCCACTCTAATTTCCTTTTGATTTAGGTCCAAATCGAGCTTATGAGTTCAAAGCTTTATCATTCAGTTCAAACCCGTCTCCAAACTTTAATTTAACTCCCGAAATTTTTTATTACTATTAGACAAGAATTAAATCCCTAAAATCTCACTGGTTCAATTTTTGTACAACTCATATTCAAAGAAATTTGGATAGAATAGAAGGTGAGGGTTATACATAGCTTACCCGCTAAGTTACTTATCAAAAGCACCTTCTAACGCTTTGAAATCTCTTGCCTTAGCACACCAGCCTCCTTCTCTTCTCCTTTATGTGTTTTTGATTTCTCCCTTCTGAAATTCACCCCAAATTCATGACTTAAGAGGTCATTTTTTAGTCCATGCACTGCGGCATGGGCACAGTAAGAATAATTCTCACCTTGCACACTTGCTTCAACCCAAAATGCAAATACTTAAACCCGTACTTATTCATACAACATCCTAATAAGTCAAACTATCAAGTAATCATTCAAATCTCTAATCCTACACTAATTATCACTTTACCTATGATCAACAGATAATCACAAGATTAAGAAATTTAAGATGTTACGTTATTAATAAACTGATCATGCGTTGCAAACAAAATTTAACAAAGCAAGCGTGGAGGAAGAGGAAGAGGAGGACGAGGAGGAGGAGGAGAACATGGCGAGTGTGATTGTGAACACGAATAGAGAAATCGTGAATGAACAAAGCGAGCATAAGGTTTTAATTGAGGGAGAGGGACATCTTTGTCATTGTAATCTAATAAGTAAGAGCAATATCAAATTTGTAACCTAATTTTACATTATACTCAAATTTCAAAAAACCTAACTATGATTTTCAATTTTCAAGAGATATTTAAAATAAATTTACCTACGGGACTTAGACGTAATTTTCTTAAAAATAAATTTATATTTATTCAATTACTCATTTTTACAAATATTGTATTTATAAAAAATAGGGAAAAAAACACGAGCCCTATATGGTCAATTCACCAATCTATTTTTTTTAAAATATAATTAAATTATTTTTGATTTGTTTTGCCAATAAGAACCGGAATTTAGCTCAATTTTTTGTAACTAATTTTACCACAAAAATTAATGATGAAAGACTACTCCTTGTGTTTCGATATATAAGAAAAACTATCACTTATTATTTTGTTTTTATTTATAAATAAAATTATATATTTCAATGCATTTATTATAAAATCATTGGAGAGAGTACCATATATATAGTATTTATTCATTTTTTCTGCCTGCCAAAGGAACTTTTGTATGTGTTACATTATTTTATCTTGCTAGTTTCCTACCACTCAACATTAACAAATCTCACCAATACAGATATTCAGTTGATAAGAATTTAACTTATAATTTAAAAATTATTAAAATCAAATACAATATACATGGACTTTTTTAATATTGTTTTGGGCTCGAATGAAGTACCATTTAAAATCATAAAGAGGAATTTAGATGAAAACAACAGGCTCAAGATTTTAAGTGAAAACAAAGCCCGATTCATTTTCAAAAAAAGAGTCATACCACATACATATCTAATGTAACCTTTAAGGACTTAGAATGATTGGACGTTAAGGACTATTGTGTGAACATGGCATCATTATCTTATGTGCCATGAATCTTACAGGGTCATGCCAAATAATTATTGATTTTTGTGCATGGTGGTTATTGATATTTTGTGCATGGACTTTGGATCTTGCAAGTATAACGATCTCAGATGAGCCGCTACGAAAGATTTCAAACCAATGATTGTGGGGTATCATCGTCAATGGATCAATAACATCATTATCAATGTTTGTCAAAATCCATTTTTTTTACTTTCCAAGCTATTTACTTTATATTCTCAATTTAAACTTTAAATTATTTTCAGTTTCAAGTTATAATTAACAAAACTTTGTATTTTTTTTTTCTTTTAATTCAATTTTTTACGTCCTTACATTTAGGTAACTATGATAAGTTTGAAAATTCTCTTATCATCTTTAAGACTCAACATCTTTAATATACTTAATATTAATTGTTTTGTGACGGAGAAATAAATAATTTATAAATATCTTAATAACCATGTTTGGCCTGATTAGTGTCTGAAACTGGACTTTTCTTTCTAGATAACACTCGACAAGCCAGGTCTTGTTAGCTTGCTGGTTGCAAGGGATTTACCGGTGATTCTTGACCCAGAGATCTTCTTGTTCGGTTTATTGTGATTGGGCATTAGCTGTGTTCTTTAAAAAAAAAACAATCAACAAGCCTCTAGATGATCATATGCGTCATGGCTTACCGCACACTCACAGCACCATTTTGCAATTAAATAGACATTGTTGTGGAATTTTTCAGCGATGATTCAACCCCACGCAATGTACGTGTCCACTTCCTTCGTTGGCGCTTGTTTTTATGAAAAATTACGTCCAATTACCACTTAATATAATTAATTTTTTGAAATTCATTGAATTTGAATTTAGAAGAATGATAAGATATTATCATTTTCTCAAATTTAATTGTTAATAGACATGTCAGTAATTAATTGTGATAATAAAAAATTGAGGCCATAGTCCCCCATTAAAAAATGCAAGAGTGTTTTTAACTCCAATCTTAGTCTTAAGAAATAAATGAATTATTTTTTATTAACACTATCTGTTTATATTTATCTCATTTAATAGAGTATTCAATGTGAAAAAATATAATATAAATAAGTTACTTATTATGAATATTTTTAAAATATAATATTTCATATCTTAAAATACACAAAAAATATCTTATATTTTTTTTTAATTTCAACTCTTCAAAAAATATCTTATATTTTTAAAGCAAGTATTTAGCATTAGTATAGTGCAAGGAAAAAAATTATTTACAAATAAATTCAGCAATTTATTAAAATATAACCAAATTACTTGGCACATAATTGTAATTTGCTTGTGAAAAAAAAAAAGGACCCAACATATCGTACAGTTTTAAATTAGGAACTTTCTGTTTGAATAGTTTTAAGATAAAGAGGATTTTTAAAAAGAATCATGTTTTTATACATTAAGAAATTTTTTATGACAAAAAAGAGATAACATTGAGTTATAATACAATTTTCAAATTCATGTCTTTAAATGATTAAATGGCCAATTTATATCTATCTAATTATAAGTTCATGAGCATTTAAGATTCGAACTTGTTCATTTTTAGTGTAACATTTTTCTTTTCATTTCAAAAATGATCTAATATTATCATTAATAAATATTAACTTCACAGTTAATTAATTAAAAAATTATATAAAAAGATATTAAAAATGTAAAAAAAAATTCAAAAAATTATAGAAAGAATCCTATATTTTATACTCAAAATTGGAATAAGCGAATTTGAAGTGAATTAAGCTTAAAGAAAAATATTTTTCCATACCTTATGTTCAACTTTCTTCATGTCTTCCTTTACTCTTAAAAAACCAATATATCACCAACAATTTCCGCCGTAAATTATGATTTTTTAATTGTAAAATTATATGTAAAACATAACCCCCACAACATTATCATTCTTCTGTCATATTTAAAATTGTTCCTCACGAATTCATAATTAGAATATTATAATTTACAATTAAAAATTTATAATTTATACTTTTATAGTTTGAAAATTCAGGGAAGACGAAGTCTCTTCATTTTTTTTATCATCCGTTTCTCTTCCACTTTTCAATTATGATCTAGATCTCCATGGCATTAGATTAAATTGGTTTTAATCAATAAATTAATGAATGGTCATCATTAAAAAGTAAAGGAAAATTGATGTTGAAAAAATGGACAGACCCCTCTCAAAAATTTGGAGTCTTTGTTGCACCATGAAAAATTATCTATCAAATTTAAAGGATTTATTTACTCTTTCATTAAAAAATATAAAAAATTTAAGGAATTTTAAGTGGGATGTGTAACAAATTAAGGCATTTTGGAGTTTTTCAACCTACTATTATGAGATTTTTCTAAAAAATACATCTTATTAAGAATGTAATTAATAAAATTTTTGAATTGAGATACTCCATTAAATAAAGTAGTAACATAAAAAGAATGTATAATTTTAAAAATAATTAATTTATTTATTTAAAAATATAATTTAATTAAAAATACTCATAATATTAGAGGGAGGGATTATATTCTTGCAAATATGCGACATTTATTTATAAAGAAGTCTCGTTTGAGACTTGCCATAATTTTTCCCTCCCTTTGTTTTTCACCAGAAATGAGCCACGTCACTATCGCTTGAACCTTGAAGTTTTCATTTGCTCGAGTGCGTGTGCCTGTAATCCAATGTATATAAAATATGTGTGGTCTGAGTGTAATTCCACAGCCTGGTCAGTCATACACTTAGACTTCTAGTCCCTTCCTTTCCAGCTGTGGTATGATATTTCTTCTTGTTTCACTTTCTTTTGTGCTTGCTGTTCATGATCATCTTTTTGAATTTTCCATGTACAACATTATCTCCTCCTAGTTCTTGGTATGGGTTTCGTCGAGTTGCAACTTCGTGCAACTTTGTTTTTGGTTTCTCTGCTGCAAAATAATGCAAATCATGGGATTTTGGGATCAAAAAAGATATCAAAAGCTGATTTGAAAATAAGGGGGGGGGGAATCGTTATGATTCTGCTTGTTCCTGAATATGAACAAAATTTAGGCAGTGTACATTTTCTTCTTCTTGTTCATACTTTCATATGATATTTGTTTAAAGCTTTCATCGCGACTAATTTTCCGTGATTGCGGTAATTTATCTGAATGTCTTATCTATCATAACGATTACGTATTTTATCTTTCTGGTTGTTTTGATGATTGATACTACTCTTAGGCTTATTGTGGTGTTGTTTGTTTTCTTGCTATTTCTTTTACGTTGCTGTGGGACATTCGTTTTTTGGATTCGGATGCTGTAAGCTGATTTTTTGTTGTGTGTTGAACGGGGCGTGTTTCTATTGGCCAAAAGAGGAATAATAAAGCTGAGTCGCAAAGTTATTGATCTTCATGCTTCTCATAATTCTTATGTTGTTTCTTTGGTTCAACAATTTTACTGTCGTTTGTTGCTCCCGTTTCCCCCTCGTTTCGCATACTTTGTTTGCTAGCTTGTAATCGATAAGTCATAACTTCTTTTCATCATAGTTCAAAGGCTTTACAATTAGACAAACTGCGCACGGTTATCTTCATTGACAATTTCTTCCCAATGAAAGAAACAAAACTAACTGTAAGAAATTTACAAGTTATCTTATATTTTCTAATGATTTCCATATGATGTTGACAGAATCAACATGCGACTTGTATCTCTTTCTCAAGCTTACATATTTTTATCAGTAATACTACTGCTATTATTGGTCACACCACTTTTCTCATGCTTTATGGAAGAGGGAAAGTGATATCAAGGAAGGTGTTTTTCTTTCCCCCAAGTTTGTATTAGGACCAGGATCAGTTGAAAATAGATATTACTATGGTATAGACTTTCCAAGAGGCCATGTTGCCCTCAAGAGCTTAATGGTGAAGTAATTGATGAAGAGGGAATCCTTTGCCTCTTCACGAAACTTATCTCCATCATTGGGCTGTAATGAGATACCATCAACGTAAAGGGGTGATACACACAGGTAGCGAGTCTCATTCAGATCACATTCTAGTGGCAAAAGTGGCTTATGCCCAGATACTGCTGGACAGTATTTTGGTCTTGGCTCTGAAACACGGGGAACAGCTACAGAAATTCCAGATCCTTTTGGAATAGAAATAGGTAATCCTGAAGACATTCCAGATGAGTATGAGGAGAAATGGATGCTTAATGTCCATGCCATTGATACAAGAGGTGTAGAAGATAGGTTGGGGTGACTTGTATCTCTTTCTCAAGCTTACATATTTTTATCAGCAATACTACATTATATGGTCACACCACTGTCTCATGCTTTATGGAAGAGGGAAAGTGATATCAAGGAAGCTGTTTTTCTTTCCCCCAAGTTTGTATTAGGACCAGGATCAGTTGAAAATAGATATTACTATGGTATAGACTTTCCAAGAGGCCATGTTGCCCTCAAGAGCTTCAATGGTGAAGTAATTGATGAAGAAGGGAATCCTGTGCCTCTTCACGAAACTTATCTCCATCATTGGGCTGTAATGAGATACCATCAACGTAAAGGGGTGATACACACAGGTAGCGAGTCTCATTCAGATCACATTCTAGTGGCAAACAGTGGCTTATGCCCAGATACTGCTGGACAGTATTTTGGTCTTGGCTCTGAAACACGGGGAACAGCTACAAAAATTCCAGATCCTTTTGGAATAGAAATAGGTAATCCTGAAGACATTCCAGATGAGTATGAGGAGAAATGGATGCTTAATGTCCACGCCATTGATACAAGAGGTGTAGAAGATAGGTTGGGGTGCACTGAGTGCAAATGTGATCTTTATAACATCACAATGGATGAATATGGGCGGCCTGTGAGGCCAGACTATTTAGGTGGTTTGTTGTGTTGCTATCATAATACTCAATGCAGGGTGAAGGAAGGCTTTGAGAGACCAAGGAGAAGCCTCTACTTGAGATATACAGTTAAGTGGGTTGATTGGAGCGATTTGGTAGTGCCTGTTAAGATTTATGTACTTGATGTGACTGATACTTTGCAAGTATCAATTGGTTCAAAAGCCTTGGGTGCAAAGCATCATTGCAAGGTAAGTAATTCTTCAGGTGGCAAGTTCATTGGTTTGAATCCTAGTTTAACTTTAAAACACAATTATATTCTCTTACTTTGTTAAGTGTATGTGAGCAAGTATTTCTTTGTTACAGATTGAGTATGATGTTGAGCCTTGCGGCAATAACCATAGGGATAGCACTGGATGTATGATGTTGAGCCTTGCGGCAATAACCATAGGGATAAGCACTGGATGCATTGATGTCAAGAGAACAAGCCTCCCAATGCCAAGAGGTGGCTATGTCATCTATGGCGTGGCTCATCAACATGCAGGTGGAACTGGTTCAACTCTGTATGGACAGGTGATAATCATATATCTATTTTCATCCTTTAATTACTTGATTAGTTTCAAAGCATGCACAAAAACTTAACATGGAAAAGGGTCATAAGTAATGATTGTGACCCAGCAAATTAAGTAGGGCTGTAAATTTTTATCTTACTGTGTTTTTGTGTTTCAGCGTTTATAAGTAGTTCATTATGTGCCAGAAATGGGTGAATTGTTCTTTTATCAATTTGTATGGGTACCATTTCCTTTCATTGGTGTATGGTTCATCATACATACTTCTTCTATCCTCGATTCCCAAAAGACTTGGAAACCTTCCTTCCATATTGTATTTTGGATGGTGATGGGGATTAAAGTCTAAACAATTCCTCAGAGCTCATATTTCATTAGACTGGTCTGTAACTTCAAGTCAATTTATCTTTCTTGAATCCTCACCACTGTGATATCATAGCAGTATAGCTTGTTTTCTGAAATTAGTGAGATGGTTTCAGGATGGAAGGGTTATATGTTCTTCAACACCGAGTTATGGTACCGGAAAGGAAGCAGGGAATGAAGAAGGCTACATTGTAGGAATGACCACTTGTTATCCTCAACCTGGTTCTGTCAAGATCATTGACGGCGAAATTGTAACTGTGGAATCCAACTACAGCCGCAGCAGCCGGCCACATACCGGAGTTATGGGCCTCTTCTACCTCTTGGTAGCTGAACAGCTGCCAGACCAACTCTCAAGGCATTCCTCTGGCGCTCCATTATTTGCAAATATAGACAATATGTTTTATTAATAGTCAGTTGAGTCCGGTCCCATATGTATGTATGTATGTATGCGTGTAGAATATCACATTAGAGTTGTCTTGGTGACAATTTTTACTGTGCTCATGTCTTAAGGAATAATGCAATATCCTTGTAGCAGTGGATGTATTGTTCCATGTGGTGCGCGCGCTTAGAATAACTGAATTAGCATAACTCTACATTTTGTATTTTTCCTCTGCTCCTTTTGGTCCTTGGGATTGGATTCCGGTCAATTTTTCTTGAGAAGTTTAGGTAGAAGGATTATTTTTCAGACTTCATGTTCAACCAAAACTAAACTTCTGTCAAACCGATAGAATTAATAGACCTCGCAAGATCTTTGAAGAGGAAATGAACACAGTGACTGGTTATTTTACAATTGGCTGTGGAAGAATTGTTTTGCTGGTACTTCAATTAAATAGTTCATTCCTCAAACTCGTGCTTCTGGTAGTGTAAACTGGTAATGTTAAGCTTTGGTTTTATTTAAGGTATTAAAAATTGGATCAGTCATTAAATTGATTAAGATAATAGTTTAAAGGTTAATGATTAAAATTATAGTTGAATCATATCAAACCAACAGTCAAGACATGGTTTAACGGTTTAATTAAACATATTGATTTGGATTTTCACACTACGATTTTGTTTGTCTTTTTCATTTACCCTTTTTATTTTTATTTTCACAACATTGCATCCACTTCTCTGTTCATTCTGATTGCATTTTCTATTATGCAATTTACATAACTGTCCTTTTTTTTTTTCTGCCATATAATGTTAACAATCTGATTTTCTTTTATCCTTACAGTTCCTTGAATATATATATATATATATATATCTCACACACACAATATTACATTAATAAAAGGGAGAATGGCATTTAAAGCCTCACAAGAAATTCATCACAACAAAAGCCCATAAATTTTGCATCGATGTTATCTTGTAAAAATATATATATGTTGTGATTAAAAGCTGAATATTAACTTGTTATTTTTTGTTAAGATTTACAAGATAATAAGTTAAGGTCTAGCTTTCAATAACATATATGTGCTTTTACAGGGTAATATTAGATACAAATCTTATGGGTCTTTGTTGCCATAAATTTGCTGGTGAGAGTCTTCAATGTTATCATTCTTCCTTTATAAAATATTCAGAATGGCTCTGTCTCACTTTAACTTTTGCCTTTGGTTTCTTACATCATTGATAATATTTTATGAAATTTCCAATGTTATAGATAAGCTTTGTCAGTTTGTAATCACGAAAAATATGTCATTGATGAGAATAACTCTGCTCTAGATGACCTTCAAAATTGACTAGTCAAAAGATAATAGAATTGGTACCTAAGTTATAATTGTGAAGTTCCTATGCGGCCTGCAACAACCCATTTAGTTACTTGAACACGCCTTTGTGTACGTTTATTTACATTTTATAGAGAGATTTTGAGTTGAAGATATTTTACAGGGAGAATTTCATATAACGACTACAGTAATTATTTATTTACAAATCACATTCAAAAAATTTAAAATTATTGTAATAATTTTTAAAATGAAACGACCAAATTTTTCTCAAGTTTAAAAATAAATAGTGTTATGAACTTAACGAGTAATGTAAGTAAATTAGTAAATAATGTTAGTAATTTTATAAATTAATAATATAACAAATCATGATAGATGGATTTGACACTTGTTAGATAATGTATAAGTAAAGTGATGGACTTAACGAATAATACAAGAAAATTAAAATGTAATGTTATTGATTTTATGAATAAAATTAATAATTTAACAAGTTGTGATAAATGAATTCAACACAAATTAAATAATGTATAAGTAACATTATAGACTGGACAAGTAACAAAAAGGAATTAACAAGTAATATTAATAATTTTATATGTAAAATTAATAACCTAACAAGTGATGAATTTAATATATGTTGGATGATGTAAAAGTAATGCCATAATTCATTTTGTTTTCTGAATTTATGGCCTTTGTCTGCTACAGTTTGCCAATGATAATTCATTGCCCCTGTTTACTGTAGTCCCTACTGGCTCGATAGTTTCAGTTCACAGACCGCTTTGTTGGTTCTTCATCTCCTTCAGTTCATGTTCTTCTGTTCTGTAACTGGTAACTTGTATTTTTCCTCACTTACTTTTACGTTCACTTACTTGTTTGTTGATAATCATGCAAGATATCAGCTATTCTCTCTTTTGGTGCAGTCATTCTGGTGTGTTCTTGAACTTCTTCTGACGAGATTTTTAGCATTTTTTTTTTTAATATCATTTCTGCATTCTTTCTTACCAATGTATGGTTATTTAATTATATATGTTATATGATACCTCTACTAACTATTTTTATTATTTCAATATCGTTTTATTCCCTGAAGGATCTTCGTGAGGGCATTGTGTACGATGACACATGAGTATGCCTGGAACGCTTGTTCTGGATATTTGATCTTGGAATTTTTTTTTTTTAATTGCAAAGTCTCTGAACCCTATGTTTGTAATATGGAGGTCGGTGTCACACAATCCTTTGCCTCCATTTGTATCAACAAAGTTATGTTTTTACTTTTCACACATTTGTTGATGTTTAATTATAATAAATTTGTTCTTTGTTCTTTTTTTTTTCTTTTTATAATTTCTGTTAGAGAACTCAAACTGCGTTACTAGTGCAGAGTTAATTTTGCTTACACGTACTCAGTTCTCTTAATTCCTTTATTGATATATAATTAAATTTGCACTCACCTGTCACATTCTGTTTAATTAAGTAAACCATACAGAAAGTTTTCCCCTTACTTTTTATTTTTAATTATATATGATCAATTTATTTTCATGTCAGTATCGATAAAAAGAATTAATAAGGTTACAACAAAAGTAAATTCGTTAGTTACAACTAATGATTTTTATGTTGTTTTAAATTATGGGCACTAACATTATGGACGAATCAAACGAAAGGACAAGGACATACCCACGATAAGCATCCACTAAAATAAGCAAAAATTACATTTGATCTAAAATTACAATTGCCCCTTAAAAACTCAATTATCCCATACTTTCTTTAAAATGATCAAGTATAGATACTTAAAAATATTCTTTACTCTTATATTTATTATAAAAATAAATTTATGATACAAATAGAACTAATATATATTTTTAAACTTTTCATGTAATTTATTTATATATTATTTTAATTAATATTTAGAATTATATTTCTTTAAAAAGATCAAAATTTCTATTTAGCTTAAACATTGCCCCCTTGATAAAATTTTCTGAGTCTGTCACTGCTAAAGAATATGTGAACAACGAAAATTTAGGTATAAAGGCCTGATGTCCTTTTTTCTGAAAACTGTATAGTTCATGAAGAGTTTATACATTATTTCATTTTTGGCTGAAAAAAAAAAATAATTTGCACATACTTTGAGGATAAAGGAGAAGTCTCATTTAACATAGCAACACGGGTATTAGTTTTATTGACAGGTTTGTTACTTTTTTTATATGTTTTTATTTTTTTCATTCAAATATGCTAAGAGAAAACATTTTTTCCTTCATTTTTTTCTTCACTCTATTTTAATTAGGAACAATCACATTCAAGGACCAATAAAAAATATTATTTGTAAACAATAACTAATAATAAGTCTCATTTAAGAAAAAACAAACACAAGTTCTTATTTTAACAATAATATATTTTATGTTGATTCTTATTTATGAATAATTGTCTTCTCCAGAGTTTTGATGTGATTTTTCCTTTTACTTTTTATTATTTTATTTCTCTATCCAAACAAAGCATTAATTCTCACGAGAGAGCAAATGTTATCAATTTTATTTGCAAAATTCAAATCTGGAACTATGCTCACTCAATTCAGTTGTTGTTAATTAAAATACAATTTTTATTTAAACGTTTTTAAGTAACGACCCAATAAGAGTATTAAAACAAGCCATAAACCTAGCTTGATTGGATCAAATCGGTCCAGGCCGAGTTAGACAAAAACGAAACACTGAAATCGGCCTAAGCGAAATGACTGGTGTGGGTTCAATGGATGGCCATGGAACCAGTTGTTTAGGCTTGCGGCCCAATCGATACCCATGGAAGGCTTATTGACGGCGATCGTGTTCCGAAGATCTTTCTCTTCTGTCGCGCTCTCCTCGAAAGCTTCTTCTGGTGTGCATCTCTGTGTGAATGAACAGGAATGTATAGCCCATATAGGGTTTTTATTTCCTGAGCTTTTGAAATTTTTGGTGTTGAATATTTTTGAAGACCGGTAAAGTTACACTGTTTGGGCGTTGGAATTTGATTTGTGGGATCTTTGAAGTTTGAACTTTGTTTGCTCGTCCTCGTCTTATGCCAATACATCGAATTTGGTTACTTGAGTTCGAGTGAGTGAGTGAAGTTTTTAGTTAATCTTTGAACGGAACTTGGGGATTTTCTTGAACTGGAAACTTTAGGTTTTGCAAGAATCCAAATATGTCAACCGGCAAACCCAAAGACGGTGATCTTCAGGTGGTTTCATTGCCAGACAAGTCAAAGCCGCCGCTTCCACCAGGGGCAGCGACATCAAATGCACTTGTGGAATATACTCCTGTTGGTTTCAAGGAGGACGAAGAGGACCTGGAGGTTAAGCTCCGACGGATTATTGATAATGTGCCCGTTCGTGTCAGCAACACGTCTGGTAGTTCTGCTGGTTCCGGCTCCGGTGACTTTCATCAGGTAAAGCTTTCACACACACACACACACACTCACTCTTCTTTCAGTACTCTTTTTTTGTACCCTAGTGGGTTCTGGGGAGGTTAAGTTTGATAATGAGAAAGCATATTAGTGTTAGCACTTGCTCGGAGGAGGTTACACACACACACACACACACTTTCAGTACTCTTTTTTTGTACCCTGGTGGGTTCTGGGGAGGTTAAGTTTGATAATGAGAAAGCATATGAGTGTTAGCACTTGCTCGGAGGAAGTTGAATTAGCATTATAGTGCTGATAATCAGTTAATGTTATCCATCCAGGCTACCATATTTTGTGCTAAAACTTCAGGTTGATGGCATGTATAGCTCATCAAATTCATCAACTAACCTATTAATGATAAACACAAACGGGCATCACGTCATTTATAACATAATGTATCATATAGATCCTCAAAGCCAAAAATACTAAGTGATGCTGTAATTTTATCTGCCATTTGACTCTTTGATGAGGACTGATATGCTGGCGATCAGGTTGATGCACTGGTGGAGCCCAAAATGTAAGGATTTTCAGAAAGACACTGTATATCAGTGGTAGTTTCATGAATTAAAGGTGTATGTTAAAATGTTTGCTGCTTATCTAGTAAATTGAAGAGATTGACCTCATGATTAAGGATCCTTAAGGATGTAATGCTGTTGACGATATTCTAATGTTTGGGGATTAGTTTTCGTAGTCTTTAGCTTTTTACTTCAAAATGTTGTCGAAGAATGATTGACAGAATGAGAAAAATGTGGAGTTCTATGGATAGGTGGGAAGTGGAACTACGTTATAAGATGAACTGACGATAATTATGCTGAATAGAAAAAGTATGTGACCTATATAGTATTTGAATCTAAACTAATTTTGAACAACATTTATAAATTATTGTTTTAGACGATGGTGCTCTGTCTTAGCCAAGGCCTCATGTAAATGAGTTCTTGATTTTCACTAGAAAGGGAGTGCGATTTTGGTGATTCAGCAAGGTCTCTTGGTTTAGATAGCGGAATAAGTGAACAAACGAACGAATGGATAATGACAGAATAAATGAGTGATGGGCCTGGGCTTCTTTATTTCCTACATCTTCTCGATAGAAAGATGTTAAACTACACTATTGTGATTATTTATGTACCACATGAACATTAGGGAAGAGCTATATTGTACAAATTTCCTTGTTTATTATGGGTTCAGTTGTGTCTGGTGCAAGTTTGAGCCCAACAGCTAGTCTTACAAGTCTATACACGGGTCAAATGCATGTCTGATGCAAGTTCAAGCAGTTGCAGTAAATGCTTCATGCGGTATTTCCTTGACAGATTCATGTGGATATAATTTGTCATGTTTCAACTTGTTGGGAAGGTGGGAAGGCAAAAAATATGTTCTGATGTTTTTCCCCTCCTGTCTCAAATTCCTGTTCCAACAGTATCGGCAGATGAGACGCAAAGAGCAAGATAGACTTGCAAGGATGGAAGTTGACTATCAGAAAAGGAAAGAAGTGGCAGAGTTTAATATGAGAAGGGAAGAAAGATTAAAAGCTGCTGAGGAACGAACAGCGAAGAAGCGGTTGAAGCGGCAGAAGAAAAAGCAAAGAAAGAAGGAGAAGAGGAGTAAGTTGAATGCTGGAGAAGAGCAGCAACATAAAGAAGAGTCTTCAGATGATGGGGACTCTGACAATGAAGAGGAGGCAACATAATAAAACAAGCCTTGGCTGTAAGCATAATACTTCTACCTTTTCCATTCATGAGTACACTAATTTGTATGTGTTTGAGGCAATATTTCATGCAGCCAAAAGGTCCTAAATGTGGTTTTGGTTTTGGCAAACGTGTTTTCAAACACATCCTTAGACAGAACATACACAGTCATGGTGCTTGATTGGGCTTTTCAGGTTTTGTATTTGTTTAGTGAGATGCAATCTTTGTAAGATTAATGGATGACCATGGGACTGAGTTTTCTTTTTCCCTACATCTCCCAGTTCTCTAGAACAATGACTGCCTCGTGTTCGATTCACTCAAAGTATAAAATGTGGAAAGAAATTTTCAAATCACAATGGTTGATGATGATTCAAGTCAAAGCACAGTTTTTAAACATATTTTGCATTAAAAAGAAAAAAATGAAAAGATCCTAAATGCTATCAACACTCCCAATATGAAGAAGCAGATTACTTCTATGATCTTTTTTTTATTTGACAAGGGGACATTTGTAGAGCACAATAGACTTCCCCCCCCCCCCCGGGTTGTGTTTGCTTTCAATATAAATCCAATATAGGCTTAAGGGGACATTTGTCTAAATTTAAGTTGATTGATTTTGATCTTATTTCATTTTAATAATTTAATATAGATAATCATCTCTTAATTAAGCAGAGGCAATTGTTAATGCTCTAGTGTCATTTACATGGTTGGGTAATTGTTAAAAAAAAAAAAAAAACACACACACACACACACAATCGTTGGAGACTAACCAATCTTTCGTGATTGGGTAATTGTTACTTGGTTGAGAAACTAAAGAGTAAGATCAAATATAGTATTCCATCCTTGTCACAATTTTGATCTTCACCAACTCTTTGGGTTGTACAGATAAAAGAGAAATAGATGGAGTGAGTAAAAATGAGTTAGGCCTAATGAGTTAGATTACCAACCTTTAAAAAAAGGTGACATTTCAACCCATTTAAAGAAGAGTTGATAGAACCTGCCCCAGCCTTGTCCAAAAAGCAAGTTGACTGCTTTTCTTGAAAATATTTTTTTGTTTTAAATTAATTTTAATAAAAAGAACATTTTACTTTATATATTTTCTCAATAGCCTTTATTCTATGTTAGGAGTCTAGTTCCAGCCAATGTTAATTTCTCCATCCTGTCTCCCTCGGCTTTTGTTATGACTAAACCTATTATTTCTTAATCCTTTTTATCGTGCTAATTTATAATGATATTTATCAAAAAGAGAGTTTGCTTCCATTATTGAATTTTTATTTTCAAATTGATAGCATAATTATGAAAAAAATAGATTAAATGCCTATATTTTTAAGTCTTGAGGCTAATGAATCGTGTAACTTTATGATAATATCGAAACAATTTGAATTTAATTTACAAATGTTCATGAGACAGTTTGAAAGATTTGAAAACGTTAAAAAAAAAAAAAGAGTTGGCCGGCTGGTCTTCAATCAACCTAGGCTGAGGGGTAATTTGGAAAATTTCCAACCCTCCAAGAAGCCGCCCAGCCTGACTTTGCAACTTGCATTAGGATAGCCTGTCTTCTCATCTCAACTCACCCAAACTATACAATTGGAAAATATTCACTTTGATTTACTTCTAATTAGGATTAGGATCCTTTTCGATCTTCGACAAATAAAATGAAATTATTAAATGGGGGAAGTGGGATCTCAATAGAAAGTAAAAAGAAAATAAAGCTTGTTTACCAAATAGAAAATAAAGCTCAACTTGACCTTTTTTTATTCGTAAAAATTGACCCTTTTTTTACCTGTAAATGCTCAACTTGACTTGAATCCTAAGATCATGCTCAAATAAGTTTACATATTGAAAATTTAATTTGTGAACATAATTTATTACTTTTATCCAAAAGGAGAAAACTTAAAAAAAGTTACCTGTATGTGATACGAAGACATAGGTATGTGATATGAAGTTTAAGAAGATTATTCAAATACTGGCAAAAAAAAAAAGATTATCCAAATAAAAATATGATTTAATATTTTAGCGTGACAAAGATATAATTCTTCTATGCTATTAATGAAATGAAATGATTCACTAAATAATAATAATAAAATTACTTATATAAATTTTAAAATTTAAAGAATTTAATTTCAAATGTGAATGTAATTCCTGGGTAAAAAAATTTAAATGCAAAAAAAAACAATTCCCTATTCTTAATGTAAGACCATATTTTGAAAAATTTTGTATTTTTAATATAAGGAAAACTTAAAATAATTAATATTTTTTCAATTTTATTCTTGTTTATTAATTATCTTTTGAATTTTTAGGTAACAATTTATTATAGTTAATAATTTCAGAAAAGGTGATATTAAAAAGTTACATATTTTTTAAATAATTTTAAAGAGATAACTATTATTTGGTTGGTAAGAACGGATACAATTTTTTTTTAAAAGAATGGGCACATTATTTTTTAAATTTTAAATCAAATAGCACTATAAATCTTAAACTTATTTATTATATAAATTATTTTTTTAATAAAAATTAATTTTAATTATTAGTTGATCAGAAAATAATATAAAATAATCTCAAAAAATTGTAAAAATAATCAAAAAATTATAATAAACTTTTAAAGTCATTTTTTAATCAAACAACTATATAAATTAATTTTTATTAACGAAAGGAATTAAATTCTATAGTTTTTAAAAGTTAAAAAAATAATTTATATTACAAATAAGTTCAGAATATATGACATGAAATTGTGATTCTACCTAAAATTTTGAAATAATTTTTATTGGTCTTTTTTTATTTAATACACTGAACCATCATTTTTTGATAAAAAAAACTATCGTTGCTTCCAGAATACTTCACTAGATTTTCAAGCATGACTACGTTCGGCATCATGAGTCTTGCAAGCTCCACTTGCTTTCTCCGGAAAAGCATCATCACGTTACTGTGATTCATACATTTCAACAAGAGCAATTGCCAATGGTATGACACCACTAGAAGAATCAATTTCGCTAGGAGATGATTGTAGAAACTAGAAAGAGCCTTTTCTGTCATGTTATAGCTTTTGCTCGTCTCAGATTGTCCTTAGTGCAGAGCAGTAGGGTGAATCTACATTAACTTCATCACTTTTCTGATTCAGATCACGACACTGCAACTTCCAAAGTCTCTGACAGGAATCGTTGGCTTGTTCAATTTCTTTTTCCTGAAATGTTAAAAGCCATCAGTTATATTTAGTTGTCTGCACTGTCTCTTTGAACTTTTCGCATTCGTTTTTGTTCCCTCCGTCTTCTGCTGAAGCCCTAATTTCTAATTGCAATGGAAGAAGAACCTAAACTTCATCGCCGGATATCCGTTCATCAGGCTCTCGGCGGCGGCCTAGGTATGATCCTGTGAGGCTATTCATGAAACGAATCTTGGTCTTTGATGGATACATCAGCGTGATTGATACTTTAACTTTGTTTGCAATGGATTTCTTTCAGTTAGATTTTGTTCAATGTTATTGTTTTCATTTCTTAGGAGTTGATCGAGATGAGTTGATTAGTTTTCTTTTTCCCTCTTTTTTTTATCATGGTAGCTGCTGATGTGTTGCTCTGGAGAAAATGGTATGGAGGGGTTGTGGTACTGGTTTCAGAGACGATATTGTGGTTGGTATTTGAACGAGCTGGATATAATTTGATTTCATTTGTGGCCAACGTTCTATTGCTGCTTGTTGTGTTTCTCTTTTTCTGGGCCAAAGCTGCTTCCCTTCTCAACAGGTTTTTCTTATCCCTGTAATTCATAATCTTCATATTCTAGTATTTGGTAATTCACTTTTCTGGATCAATATGAACTAGTTGTAGTATCATCGATGAGCGAGATTATTGTGGAGATATTTAAAATGTTTAAGGATTTTTTTGTTCGTTAGAAGAGAATGTCTATGAAAAACATGTATATTGATGCTCTCTTAACTGGAAGCATAGTTAAGTCCGTGGAAAAATGCATGAGAAAAAGTTTATTGGTCCTTTTAGGCTTTACTTTCTTAGATTGATACTGTTCTATGTTATACAGATCACTCCCCCCTCTTCCTGATCTCATAATCTCGGAGGAGTCTATTTGCAATGCTGCTGATATACTGCAAATTTGGATCAATCGTGCAATGTATATTGCCCATGACATAGCAATTGAGAGAAATTTGGTGCTTTCCATTCAGGTCTTGTGCCGATTTTTTAACATCATTTTTCGTGTCAAATGATTTAGACTTTAATGCCGACATTTCTTTGATGCAAATTTGGGGAATCAGGTTGCTGCTGTATTTTTGGTTATATCGGTCATTGGTAGTCTGTTCAACTTTCTAACTCTGATCTATCTTGGTAAGTTCTCTGTTTCTTTAGTTTCTACACACATTACTTTTTTTATTTTTTATTTTTTGTCAATATTAAGTTTCTCATAACATTCCATATAATCTTCTTGATAGGTGTTCTGCTTAGTCTGTCGGTTCCTCTTTTGTATGACAAGTATCAAGACCGAATTGATAATAAGATGTATACAATGCATCAGATTATTCAAACACAGTATAGGAAGTTTGAAAACAATGTTTTAAGGAACATTCCAATACCTTCAAACAAAGCAAAGAAGATGGAATAGGTAAGCATGCACCATCAACATGTGTGCGCATACTGGTATGTGTCTATGGTGCTTAGATATTTCATGTATGTGTCCTTGCAAGTAATTTGTTTTTTAATACAATGTTTATATGAGTTAGAATGTGGCACTGTCTACCAAATTCTAATGTAGTTCTGCATTCAGCATTAGATAAGAGCTTTTGGGGTTGAAAGGATAGGGACCGACCAATTTTCTCTTTTTTGTAGACCTTCTTTACCTCCTCTTTGTAGCTGCTAGCAACATGCTGTTTTCTGTTGATTACTTCTGCAAAGGTACCCCGCAGTTAAAAATTATAAGCGTTAAAGCCATCAACTTAATTTGCATGGAATAGAAAGGTGCAAAAGAGGTTTTAAAAGAGGGTAAGCGAGCATCATCAATTGAGAAGAAAATTGAGCTTCGTTCCTCTGAATGCCTGATTTGGAGTTTTCTGATATTTTTATGCAATTTTTGCTCGTATCATTACACATTAGCATTTTTTTTTTTTCAACTTTAAGCTACCCTTTACTTAATACCAAACACAATAGATATTTTTCTGTTCGCTTTTGTTTTTTCTAAAATGCATAAAATTCATCTAAATTTTTAAGCAGTTGTATATAATTTCTTTATATTAAAATGTTTAAAATTAACTCCTTTAATCTTTAATTTTGTTTTTCAAAGTCTCATACTGTTAATTAATTCTATTATATTATTATTAGAGTTTACTATATCATATTAATGAAATATACAGGGCACATGATATGGAATTTTTTTTTAAACCACAATTTAAGGAGATTGCAAAACTGTAATTTTAACTTTTAACACACATGACTATGCTCTCATTTTTTTAATTGAGTGACATTGTTTTCATTCTTCATTTTTAACACAATTCAAGAGAAAAATTATAATTATTATTCTTTATCAATTAAAACAACCTTTTATATTAAACAAATAAAAGAAATCTAAAAGCATAAAATAAATAAAAATTTGTTCTTTAATACAAGAAAATTATACATTATTGATTACAAAAAAATAGGTAAATAATATAATTTTTGTACATTTATTATTGGCTTATATAAAATGTCATGTGATCTTCTATGTGACTTTTTTTAATTTGACATGACAAATTCTATTAATATGTAATTATCTCAAAATTCAGAAAAGTTTTATGTATTTTAATTTTTTTTATATAAAAAAGGTTTAGATGATTTACACCCAACATTATACATGGTTGAAAATGATATATTTTTTCTATTCACTTTGTTAGTGGTGAGAAAAAAAATATTTGATAAAATTTATAAATACTTATATATCATTATTAATTTAGGGTAATCAGAAGCTCTTAAATAAAAAGTTTATGTATATTTTTACATTTTATATTTACTTCCTTTTTTAACACTCAACGCTAACAAATGTTAATTAAATTTAATGATTTATGCATTTTTGCATCCACTTCATTAATATTATGATTATGCTTGCACTGTTCTTCACTTAAGGATGCTAAACGTTCTAGAGAAGAAGTTTAAAAATTCTTTTGTTCTTTAACCCTATAAAAAATAAAAAACAACTTGAGGGTATGAAGGAATCCAACAAGAGTTTTGTTTTTTTAGTACGATGATTGGATCCAATATTGGATCACCATTATTGACAAAAATATTGGAAAGTAACGAAAATTAGTATATGTATTTTCATAATATCTTATTAAAATATTAATACATTAATATTTAACAATTTAAATAATTATTTAGTTATAAATATTCTTTCAAAATTTGTTAATTTATTTTAAAATTAAGAGCTTAATTAGTGTATCTAAGATTCATAGGTGAATGTGAAATAAACTATGAATCTTCATTCAAAATTTATTATTCCTTCCTTAAAAATTTTGACTAATGAAAAAAATTGACTGGTAAATTTTGTGTGATGTTTTTTAAATAATAATATTTAAATTATTATGTATTGAAATATTATTATTTTAATAAGATATTATTAAAAACATATATAATATGTTTTAGTTACTTATGAGGGTTGTTACCCACAATGATGATCCAATAATTACTTAATAGCTGGTCAAAGTGGTTCATTAAAATGAGGAGAGATTCTGTTTCTCTCCCTTCCCATCATCTACCCTTCTTCTTCCCTTTCTAGTCATTAAATAAACATTTAGATAGTTTAGATTTGATTTCTTATAAAATTATTATTAAAATGTTAAAATATAAAAAGATATAAATAATAAATTTCAAATTGCTAAAATTTAATATGAACAATTAAAAAAGGATAAAAGTGTAAATTTAATCATAAACTATTTTTTGAAGAGCATCCAGTATCATATACTATGGATGAGTGTAAAATAAATCATCAACTAGCAAAAAATGAAGCATGCAATCTTCCATCAATTTATGCCCAACGTTTGTTTATCGTCTTCCCAACTTTCCAAATCTCCGTCGAATGTTGCAAGGTGTGCTTGTTTGTTGTGTGTACATCTACCGCAAGGCATGGGTGCGATGATTTTTTTGGGGGGGCATTAAGGGGCTGCTGTCACTGCTAGCTTCTCCCTGAACCAGAAGCTACTTCTCTCAAGGACAAAGACTAGGCTTAACATCTGGAATTAGTTGTGTGCTAAGTTATTAGCTATGCAAGAACACTTGAATGTATAAAGATTGAAGATAGTCTCATGACCAGCTTCACTTTTTATTGAAATCTTGAAATTCCTTTTCTCTTTTTGTGATTGAAATCTTGAAATCCCCCTACACCAAAAGTGGATACATATCTTGTCTCTACATACTGCCTTGGCTTATGATTTTCCTTGTGAGAAAGACACAGAATCTCTACAATTAATAAACTTCATCCCTGTTATTTGTAACATAAAAAAATTATCCCCTTAATTAATTAAACTAATAAAAGGGTAATTATGTATATTTAAGTATAATTGGGTTTGAGAATGGTTAGAGATGACTAATAAGCCTATTGAGTTTAACTTTAGCCATTGGATTGGTTTGGAAGTGAATTGGGCCACCTAGACTCAAATTGTAGAGAGAAAATTAAAATTTGACCCATTGTGCATTATACTATAACATAATGGATTCACGTCGTAGTATAATGTCAAGAATCAGCTCTTTTAAAATAAGTGAAAAAATGTTTGAAACAAATATAAAGAAACCAGAAAAAAGGAAGAGTGATAGAGAGAGTATTTTATCTATTAAGGCATTAATTTTTGGACATTTTGGAGGTGATTGAAGCTTGATTTCACCTAGGTATGTTTTTCTTATCTTTTTTTCCCCTCTCTACATGTTTTAGAAGTAAGATTTAAGGTTAGAAGATGATAATTTTTGAACTTAGGGCTATTAGGTCATAACCCATTAGTCTAAATGGGACTAATGTAAGTTGTTTGAGTTAAATAAACCTAGCTTTGATGAGTTTGAGCATTCTTGAGCTTGGACTCAGTAATATGGACAAAATTATGCCCTAAAATGCCATAAAAAGTGGTGATTGAGGTAAGTAGTTGCCATTGGCATTAATTAAGGAGTTTGTTAGTATTAGTTGGAGCCAACGGGAGTTAATAAACTTAATGTTGTGATTAAACTAAAGAGTTGAGAGTTTTTGGTGATTAAAGTGTTGAAATTTGAGAGTTGAAAATGTGTAATTTGTGACATTGATGATAATTTTGAGATTAGTGATTATTTAAGTTGTTGAGAGCTAAATGAAGTTAATGAAAGTTAATGAACTCAATTGACATGAAGTTGATCTTGTAGTTGAGAAATTTAGTTATTAAAGTATGAAATTAGTGTTGGAAATGGTAATTTTGATTATTATTAGTTATGGGTGTTAATGTTAATTGTAAACTAACCTCGTGAAACACTGGTGAATTTGAATTAGCTCAAAAAGCAAGTTATGATTGAGAGGTAATCTTTGACCTCTCTAATAGTTGAGGTAACCAGGAGAAATTTAGCTTGTGTATTTATTTGATTAATTGATTATTCGCGTATGAAGAATTATTTGAAAGCCATGATATATTTTATAAATCTATATTTGATGCAAGTTGTGACAAAATGAATAAGTTTATGTAATGTAATAAAATTGATGTAAATGAAAATTGTAAAGATATATGTTATGTATGCTTGTTGTTATGATTAGACATGAAAGTGTGTATGGGTGATTATGAAAGAGGAAAATTGTGAATTTGAGATGTATTGAGCATGATTGTGTTGTGATATTGATGAGCATGACATGATGATTTATGTCTAAAAATTGCATGTTACGTGTTGAACATTTGTATATGGCATAATCATATAAGGTGGGAGTTCACCTATAAGGAGAGTAGTAGATGTTATATATCCACGTGGTATTAGTGGCTTACCGTTGAAATCGAAAGCTAGCTAGATTGCCAACTGTTGGAATTAGGAGTTAGTATTGTCCCATTATTGTATAGGGACTGTTTCACTTGTTCTTCGAATGACTCAAACCTAACGAATCTCTACTGATTCATGAAGAGGTCGAACTAGAGGCACGACACCATATGGTCGTTAGTATTGAGAGAAACCATGCCACACAAATGAGTGTAGTAACTTTGGCCGAGCAACTCCTTACAAGTGGAAGGCTTGAAAGGCCTAAGCTTATGGATATAGCCTACTAAATAGCCATAATTTCATGTCAAAGGTATCAAAAGGGTATAAGGTTGTCATTAATCATACATATCATATCCCAACTATATGGTTGTTATTGTTATGGTTTGGCATAATTTGACAGGGGCATATAGTTGTTAGTATTGTGACCTCATGTGTTTTGATGCATATTATTATATGACCACATGGTTATTATTTTTATAATATTGCTCGTCTTATAAAAGGTACATGGTTGTTATTGTAACCTTTGCATGTTAAGTATTATGATGTCACATGATTGCTAGCTTTTTTTGACTAAATGAATTACGTGGTTTAATGTGTGAACACACTTTTTGTTTGATTATGCCACTTACATCACTATGATTAATTAACATGTATTTGTATAGGTTAGATTGACTTTGGTTATTGAGTGATTGTACTCATCTCTCATTTAACATTTTACAGGTGCTAACTTGGATCAAGGCAATGGGAAAGTACTAAAGGCTTGGGAACCTTATTTCCTAATATAGGCCTCGTTATTTTGGTACGTATATATATGCAACTAATTTGATAATGCCAACTAGAAAAATGTATATTTTGATATTTCATGTGTCATTTAATTATTTATGTTAATTGGTTGTATTTTGGGCCTTATAATGGTGTGTTGTGATTTGAGAAGTTTGGGCAGGGTCCAAAACATTAGTGCAAGTATGACTTTAAAGTTTAAGATGATTGTAATTGAAAATTGTGAGGTTTAATATCAACATGCTTCCCTATTTGCTTTTGATGAATTTGGGTTTGAGGAGTAAAAATATAATACGTGGCATATATGTATATTATTGTGTGTTACATAGGTCATCTTAAGTCTTTTGAGTATAGTCTAGGTAGTTGTGTGGGTTAGTGGCACTTTAGTTGAGTTTTAGCCACTTTAACAGTTGAAAAATGTGAGAAAGTAATAGTTTTAGTTTTGAGTATTTTTGATATAATAGAATTTGTAAATGAGACCAATGCCATTAACTAGTTCATTGAATTAGATTTTCGTGAATATTTAGATTATCGCAATTGGACATCGGACGGTGATTTGGGGCACGTCAAAAGTTTGGTCAGAGATCCACAATGATAGCATGTTGCTGTCATGGGTTTTACATTTTACACCACAACGTAAAATTTTATGCCATGGCGTAATTCCAAACTTTGCTGAAGTGTGCTTACTATGCCTTATGTCGTAGCATATTTGTATTATGCTGTGGCGCATTGTGCTAGAATTGTTATTTTGGCTCTGTTAACCCTAAATTGATTTGTTACTGTATGTGGTATGATTTTCACACTCCTATATATGTTTCTTCTCTATTTTAAATTAGTTATATTGAATTTTAAAGTTCAAGTTATTAAACTTGGGATCCCAACTCTTAAAGGTTTATATTTTCAAATGAAATTGTTGTTTGATTATGAAGTGAGTATTTTAATACTTGTTTTGAAACTTTTTAAATTATAATAGATCTTTGATTTGTCTTTTTCTTCCTATTATGGTTAGTCTTTTATTAACTGATTAAAGTCTATAACTATAGTTTTGTAATGTATGGTTTAATCCATCTTTATCATGGAGATTTTAGCTAAGTACTTGGATAATAAGGAGAATGTTACATTTTTCATTGGTAAGGTCCTTTCCACAATGGTCACAGACTTTTAATTATAGACACTTTCAAAGTTCTAAAATTTGTCCAACATTCATCTTCTAGAAAAAAAAATATTGCCAAGAAAAAGTACATTTTTCCTTAAACCAATCAAAACAATTGATTTGAAGCTATTCTCTGGGTGATCAAAATAATGATTGTATATGCACAATGTATATTGGTTTCACAAAGACAATTTCAGGACAATTCTAGGTTGAAGAAGATGAAGTTGAAGAGATCAGAGGAGTCATTGATGGAAAAACAAAGAATAGAATGTAGGTCTCACAAAATTGAGTTAACGGACATTAGGCATAAATTGACAGAATTTTGCACATGCTTCATTTTTGTTAGTTGATGGTTTATTTTATACCACCTCATAATATAGATCTCAGATGCTCTTTAAAAAATAATTCATAACTAAATTTGTACATATATCCATTAAAAATATAATAAAAATAAAATAAAATGATATATTTTATAGGAGATCAAATGTGGGCCATTTAAATATCAATCTAGTGGTTAAAAATTAGGAAGAGAATGGAAAGAGGGTGGGAAGGAAAGAGAAGAGAATTATCCCTCATCAAATGATATTTTAGTTTTTTACATGGATAGTAAATAGCATTAGTTTCTTAAAATTTATTTATAATTTATCAAACTTAATTGATATTAATTTTTTCATAAGATACTTATTTGTAATTTTTTGAATCTTTTTTTGGGTAATTTTTGAGATTCTTTTTTATAATTTTCTAGTTAACTAACAGTTAAAATTAAGGTAGAAGTAATATTATAACATTTTTAAATGTTGAAGGGGAATATTGTAAAAAAAAAAAAAGTTAGAGTCTTTTATGATCTTAGATAAGTAATTTAAGAACTAAATTATCCTTTAACCCTTTATTTACTTATATTTACATAGTCATATTGCTTGGGAAAAAATCTATCTGTTTTGGCCTATGTGTGAATTTTTTTATTGTTGTTTACAAGTATCCTTCTATTATTAGACATTGATTTACCATGTTGTGAAAAATTGATTCCTTTTACTAAACTAAACCTCCCTTAATATTTGTGAAACTATATATAAGTAGTACGTTGAAAATTAAAATCTTATTAAGTTGCGGTAAGACTCAATAACATTATATGAAACATTTAAACTTGAAATTAAATAGATTGGAAGTGAAGAAGACAGTTTGAATGTTCTGAGTGCTTTCAAACAAATAAGCCAATGGCCCCCCCTTTTTAAACATGAAATATCTTTTATCACATCAAGACTAATTTACAATAAACCTTATTCCCTTGAAAAAAAATTGACTATATAGATTGCACAATATCATTATATTTTATTATCAACTAAATTTTTAAAAATATTATTAATTAAAAGGTCTCGTTTAACTTTAATAAATATTTTCTTCAATTTTTCTTTATTTTTTTTATAGGGATTAAGGTTATATGTTCTACTCTTTTGTAGGTAAACACAAAAAATTAATTTAATTATTTTTATACAATAAAATAAGCGCCTATTGTAGTAAAAAATTTAAAAAAATAAAAAATAAAAAGCCTGGAGAAGTAATTGGTTTATCAAAAGAAAATCCAAAATTTTCTATAAGTTATTATTGCTTTTTGAAAGGAGTGTTCAGTGTAACACCCTCAAATTTACATACCGATTTTTCATAAATTATTAAAACCATTATCATGGTAGAAAATTTTCTTACCATGATACATCCAAGACATAACACAAGTCTTAAAATATCTAAAAAGGCAATTAAAACCATGAGAGACAAACATAATCCTCATGTCATGATATTCAAATTAGATCATAAATCAAGAGGGACAGACATAATCCTCTTGGTCATATAAATACTTTTAATAAAAAGGATTAGAGTTTACATGTTTCACAAAGAAGATATGTCCTAAGTTGGCACAAGATACATTATATAATCTAAAATAAGAAGCAACGTAAAAGATGGTGTCTCATACACCATAGTTACACCTCTGGTGCTTTCTCGACCGGACTCGCTCCTGTAAAAATATTAACCACAAGGAATGAGACTTAAAAGTCCCAGTAACCAAAAATTAATATGTAATGATGCATGCGGATGTAACTAATCATGCGATTGCTAAGTGGACACACAAAACATTTAACCGAAACAATACTTTCAAACAAACCGAACAAGTATTTAATTTGCATGACTGCACCTTATATCCTCCTTTCGCCATGCTCGGACGCCAAATCACCTGGCCAAAGGTGAGTTGGACCAAGCGACACGCCACTCATTGGGTCCAATGAGGGCTTACCACGTGGTAATAATTAACCGAACAAAAATTCCCATTAACACCATATATTAAAATACCCTGACAAGTCATGCATCATTCAAATATCCAAACAGGAATATATCCAAACAATAATATCTCATCATGATAAACAAAAATAAATTTTTAACCCACTTGGCAATGATTTCAAACAAGTATATAACATTATTTATTTTTAATAATTCATAATTTTTTCAACAACAAAACAACACATAACCATTCACAAACACACCCATCACAACACATTAATAATGGTTACCTTGTGTCTTGAATAACAAGTTCCCCTTCACAACTTCTTTTTCACCACTATCTTTGTCAATATAATCTATATAATTATTTCATAATATTATATATTAATTTTAGATTAAAATAAATAACTCTAATTTAAAGAGTTAGAAAGTCTTAGATCTATAATCCATATTAACACTAATTTAAGATTTATGCCTCATTTAACTTTCAAATTCTTTTTTAAAATTCTCGTACCCTAATAAACTATATTTTTTTATCCTCAAATCACTTCTAGTATCATAATTTCATCCTTCTATATTCTAATAATTCATCCAAAAATAAATTAAAAATTTTAGAATTATTCTGAAACCTCAAATTACCTTTCTATAACCTCAAAAATACTTATTCATACTTAAATAAATATTTAATAATCATAGGTTTATCCCTACATCTCAGATTCCACATAAATTCAACCATATAGATCTAGATTTTAACTCAAAAATTCTTAAACATGAGTTTCAACCTCAAAAAAATATTCTATAATATTTATTATATCCCTAAGAGTTTTAACCTATATTTTTAATCCATCATAACATCAGATTAACTATCCTATAGAAAAATTTTAATCAGAATATTTACTCTATCCTACAAAATAATCATATCACTAGAAAGCTAATATTATTTAGAAAATAACTATAAAATTAATTTTGTAATTAAATAAATTTTTAAATGCTAATCTAAACAGGAAAGTTAGAACATACCTGAAGAAAAAAAAAATAATCCCCCCTTGCGAGAAAATGCCGAGCAACGTGAGAGGAAGAGAGAAAAATAATATAAAAATGAGATTATGGGTCCCAAAATTATATTATTTAAAAAAACTATAGGTCTGAATTTAATTATTCAAACCTTTGGGCTGTTACTTGTAATTTTTTCTAAATTGCATCTTGGGTCCTTAGCTGCAATTTTCACAAATTATAAAATTTTTCATTTTGCTTCTGCTGCTCCTTATCCTCCTCCTTTTATATGTGAGGAGACACCTCTCCTTCCCACATCTAAATGATGTGGGACTTACACAGTACCTCTTTTTTTTTTTTTACTTTCTTTCTTCTTATTTTTTTTACTCACACACACACATATATTTTTTTATTCTAAATCTTAAAATTATATCTTAATAAAATATTTTTATATAATTTTTAAACCTAAGTTTTAAATTCATAATTAAATTTCTAACTATATTATTATTTCTAAATAATCTCAAATAATATAAATTCCTATTATTATTATCATTTTTTTAATAAAAATTTAAATTTCACAACAATGTTTTTTTTGTCTAAAAAAAATCAGGATGTTACATTCAGTGTTTAACCACTTAGTGACACTTTCAAGATGAAATTTTTTTACGAAAGGATGATAGATATTTTATTATTAAAAAATATAAAGTATTTTTAATTAAATTTTATTCTCAATAAAGTAGTTATTTATTTTTAAACTAACTCTATTTTTTATATTTACCTCCATTTAATAGGTTGTTTCATCCTAAAATAAATATAAAGTAATTTATTTAATTAAGGTACTTTTGAAAAAAGATAATGATTACATTTTGAAGGATTAAAAATATTTTATATTTTTAAAAATTTAATCCCTTAAAAAATACCTTATATTTTTGAATGGATGGAGTAAATATTAAAACAAGAATTAATTACAATTATATTCTTAATAACTTTTTTAAAAAATAACTTGCAAATATCGATTTGAATAGTTGTAAATTTATGACTTCTAATTACAAATAAAAAATTTAAATATAAATATAACTTTTAATTTATAATTGAGATTAATTTTTTTAATCATTTGAATTAATATTTATAATTTATTTTTAAAAAATTTCTTTGAGACCTAACTATTATAAATTTTCTCTTTGAAAATTTTATTGTCATTCTTCTTTTTTTTTTTCAGATTTAAATTCTCTGAAATTGGAATCAGTGAATTTAGGTGAAGTTTTTTTTTCTTTTCCAAATATGAGGTATTTTAAATCTTTTAAGATGTCATTAATAATTTTTTTTTTTCAAAAATACCCTTAAGTAAGGGTAGTAATTAAAAGGATTTTCTAATGAGAGATACTATTAAATAAAGATAAATATATAGAATATATAATTTTAAAGATTATTGACTAATTCATTGAAAGAATAATTTAGTTAAAATGTTTAATAATATTTCAAAAGAATATGAAATGAAAATGAGAAAATAAAAAATGCATTTTTGTTAAAAAAAAATAACAACATTTTAATAATTTTTTAGGATAATTTTTTTCTCAATTTATAAAAATTTATGTGAGAATGTTTGGTGTATCCAAATTGTTATTTTTTTTTTTACCAAACTACTTAAATTGCTTTTTAATAGATAAAAAAATTGTTCTTCGGAGCGATCCCGCAGGTGCGTCCCTAGTCACTGCTCACTACTCACCAGTCAGTAATCAACAGTCACCAACGAACCATTGCCAACGGCTAGTAATTATAAAACGGCTAGTTTCTTTTCCAAATTTCTTTCACCTTTCTCCATTTTCCTCTTCACTTTCTCTCCTCACACCACTCATTGCTACTTCTCTTTCTTTCTCTCCCTTAAATGATTTCTCTCTCCCCTTTTTGCCTTTCCAAGAAGTCGCATTTCTCTTATCCTCTAAACACTTCTGGGTTCAGTCGACGAGACGTTTTCCCGGGAAATTTCCGCTGAACTTTCTTCTCCCTGTAATGGCGTTCGACAGAAGCTCTCCGGCGAGATGCTTTTTCACGCCACCGTCTACTTGGAAATCAAGGCCGGTCCCACCGTCGACGCCAATTTCAGAAAAGAAGAGAACATCGCAGTCGGCTAACAAAGGTGATCTTTTCCATGTTATTCACAAGGTGCCTGCTGGTGACTCACCCTACGTTAAGGCCAAGCATGTTCAGGTAACAACATGGACTTTAATTCCTTGTCTTTCTTTTTGAAAGTTTTAAACTTTTGTCTCTCGCATCAGTTAATCTTGATCAGGCTTCCTTATTCGTTTCTTGGTCTTGTAATTTCTTTCATGGGAGAAGGGAAGACTTTTTTTGCCAAGAAAAATATATCTAAATTTACGATATAGTGCTCTTTGATGAAGTATGGTAGTGAATTTTGTTTCAGTGGGGGCAAGAGAAGAACTTTATACAAAAATTTTGATTTTGATTTCCGGTGATGCTATTCATTTGATAGATTCTTAAGTATGAGCCATGAGGCTCCCTGTTCTCTATTATAGTAGCTAATATGGATTAACATGAAAAAAAAATTGATTGATTTGAAGGACTTGTTCAAATATGTGAGGCTCAGTATCTTGCAATGAAAAATGGCAGTTTCTCTTTTCAGAGCCTTGTAATGTTTCTACCAGTTTAACTATTTCTTTTACAAGACTGACCGTCTAGAGTGAGATTAGATATAGAGAGAGAGAAATCAGAGAATGAGTATAAAGAAGTAAGCGACTCATACAGTCACTTTTTCTTTTTATTAGATGATCCAATTTGCATAGTTTTGAATCTCAATATGTGGGGATTTCACAGTTGGTGGATAAGGATCCAGGAAGGGCAATATCTATGTTCTGGGGAGCCATAAATGCTGGAGATCGTGTGGAGAGTGCATTGAAGGACATGGCGTTAGTGATGAAACAGTTGAATCGATCTGATGAGGCCATTGAAGCTATCAAATCTTTCCGTCATCTCTGTCCTTCTGATTCTCAGGAATCTCTGGATAACATCTTAGTTGAACTCTACAAGGTAAACAAACATCCATCTTCTTTCTTTCCGCTCATTCATTCTCTGCACATTATAGTTTGTGTGTGTGTGTGTGTGTGTGTGTCTTCATGAGAGAAAAAGGAAGGGAAAATCACTTAGAGGTCTCATAGGAGCAATTTAACATCAAGAAGTCCCATAGATCTTAATTGTAAATAAGTTTTGGTGTGCATTTACCAAAATGACCACTAGGAGAGTTTTTTTTTTTAAAACAAGGGCATTTTGGTAAATGCACTCCAAACCTTATTTACAATTAAGGTCTATGGGACTTCAAAGTTATCTTTTTCATTTCATGGGACTTTTTGGAAATTAAATTGCTTCTATGGACCTCTTAGTGATTTTTCCAAAAGGGAAGTACCACATGCTATAAAGAGCTTCCCTTATTGGAAGGTGTCAACTCTCTTTTTGTTGAACTCTGCAAGGCCAGCCGCCATTTTCTTCCTTTCACTCTGCAAGGTGTCAACTTCTTTCATAGCCTTTATTGACAGTTTTACACATAATAGTTTGTGTGTGAGAGAGTGAGAGAGAAGAATACTGTCATGTTCTATGCAGCTAGACTTTTTAGTGTGAACTCAACAGAGCAACCACCGTTTTCTTCCTTTCTATCATGCTTCTTTCTAGCCATTTAGTGTCTGCAAGACAGTCGCACATGATTGTAAATGAGTGTCCGTGTGCATTCACATACATCCATATATGAGAGAGATAAAGATAGATAGACGGATAGATAGGTATAGAGAGAGAGAGAGAGAGAGGCAGTGTTATGCAGAACTTGACTTTTGATTGGTATTTCTCATTTTGTTGAAGTGTTTTTTTTTTAAATTTTTTTAAAAGCATTTCTCCTGAGTAATTTTGATTACCATATCCATAGATTTTAACATGGTAAATGGTAAAGATGGGTTCAGATCTTATAAGAAGTTGACTTCTCCATGTTATAACCCATGGGAAAACCTCTTCCCAGATGTGATCGAGTGTTCACATTATTACTGATGATTGCAGCTTCATATAAATATAACCTTAACCAAACATGTAATTGACTATGAAAGATTAATTTTAGGTAATTTGCTTCATGCAAGGAATAAGGCTTGTTGTTGCTGTTAGGAATCAGAAAAAGCTATACCTTAAACTTTCATTATTTAGCATTTGATAATTATCAAATTAAGATTGCAGCATTTCATTTGGGCATTTTTTTTTTAAAAAAATATAGTAACCTCTCTATTTACTTTTAAACCTTTGGTGTGGCATACCCTGTGATAGAAGGATAAGTTTTGTAGGGTGGATGGAATCTTTGCAGTGTTTGGGAAAGAAACTAAAATTGTGAATGAAAATGATACTCATAATACAAAATCCAAAAAAAATGATAAGAAAATAGTGATATGATTGAGTAATGATAATGAGGTATAACAAAGATGGTATAAAAGTTGTCTCATTTTCCAATTTCCATACACTGCCCCTTTCCCTCTTCTATTTTCCTACACAACCGAATACACTATGTTGGATGTTGGACTACAACTGCTCCCTCTAGTCCCTATTAGGGTTTTTTTTTTTGGAAGGATTTTTTGGTCCTTAATATAAGGCAAATGGATGGTCATTTACCTTTTTCCAATTTTACCCCATGAGAAAGAATGCATCATATTCAAGAAAATTTATTTTTACTTTTACTATTCATATTTTTAATAGGGGTAAATTTGGATTTTTGTTTTTATTTTAAGACATATTTAATGAGTTAATTGTCATTTATTGGTTCTGGTTACATTGTTGAAAGCGTTTTATAATAAGGATCAGATGGAGTATATGATGTCAACTATTCGATTTATGATAGGTTTATGCCCTGTTAGGAAAGTATTCATTATTCGCAACATCATTTTGTAATTGCAGAGATCAGGAAGGATTGACGAAGAGATTGCAATGCTTCAACAGAAACTGAAGAAGATTGAAGATGGTGTTACTTTTGTTGGAAAGAGAACAAAACAAGCAAGATCTCAAGGGAAGAAGGTTCATATAACTGTTGAACAGGAGATATCAAGGTAGAATTTTTTTTTAAAAAAAATAATTTTTTGTTCATGCTCTTCCTTCTTATTTTTATTCAGTTCTTTAATCAGGCCTTGTTCTCTAATATTACTTTGAATCTCCTTCAATGCCAGGATATTGGGAAACCTTGCCTGGGCTTACATGCAAAAAGGTGATTACAAAAGTGCTGAAGAACATTACAGGTGAGATTTTATATACATAAACTTTATAATTATTTTTTTAAATGCAGGAATGACTCACATTTTAATTTAGCATCTTAATTAACTGTCACTTTTGCATGAAAATGTGACAATGGCAAAATTGTTTGCATGCAGCAAATTAAAATTTTTATGAAATTAGACTCTAAAATTTTCACTTCATTTTGTGTCTTTCTTCCCAGAAAAGCACTGTCTTTTGAGCCTGATAGGAACAAGCAGTGCAACCTAGCAATATGCTTGATGCAAATGAACAATATCACAGAAGCAAAGTTTCTGCTTCAGGCAGTAAGTGCCGCCTATAAGAACAGAAAGATTGATGACTCTTTTGCTAAATCTTATGAACGTGCTTCCCAGATTCTAACTGAGATAGAGTCACAGTCAAAGTCACAGTCACAGCGACTGTTTCGACTAGTAGTAGACAAGGAGTGTAAAGAAAAGCCTCTGGAGCAAACCCAAAACTCCATTGATGAACAGAAAAAAGGTTCTTACTTTGAAAGTTCATCTGGGAAAAGGTCTGGAAGGGTTCATAACGTTCTTCCTCCTCATACAGAACCAAAAAAATGTTCATGGGTCTTCAACAATATTGGCTGTCAAGGAAGGGAAATCTGGGGTGATGTCAATTCAATTAGAAGATCTCCTTATGAGATGTGTGATAACACAGCGTTTGTGAAGTTTCCAGGAAAGGTCAAACATGGAGCAAACGAATCTGCAAGTTGTGCTGTTGACACACAGAAAAATAATCAGTGTTCTGGTCTGTGTGCTGCAAATTCTGCTGTTGTTGGAAATGGGAAGTCATTATTGTTGAATAAAAGCTGGGCAGATATGGTGGAAGAAGATGAAGAAGAGTTATATAGTGGAGGGTACACAACTTTTGAGGGTGGTGATCAAGCTGATGATGACAATGAAGAAGTGTTCAATGATGAAAATTGGAACATGAACATAATTTGCCAAAAGCTTGGACCACTGGACCCCAAAGATGATGGATCTGAATCTGGGGAAGTCTTCTGGCCGAGGAATCCTACAGTGAGGCGTTCTTTGTGTTTTGATCAGCAGATGATGACACCAGATCCATCAACAGGTTTCTTTTGTTCATCCACATCACCAAACAACAAGACTTCAAACTCAGAAAACCAAAGAATGCTAATGAAGGAAAAGGATTTCATTTTTCAGGAGAAAAAACCTGCAAGGAGAAACAGGTTGCAGGTTTTTCAGGATATTACACTTAACCCAGGAACCCCATGAGCTATGATCTACGCATGACACAGGCTACAGGACATATGACAATATATATAGTGCTGATAAATCTTTTTTTTTCCCCCTCTAAAACATTTCATAGCCCATGAACTTGAATTCATTCATTTGTATGATAAAAGGAGTATGTTATTACAATACATAATGAGCACACGGTAAAGTATTCTGTTGATGGATTTGGCTCATTCATTCTCTTGTACTTACTTATGATGTTATATTGTATCAGTTGATAATAAATTCATGTTCATACATCTCTATTCTTTTGAAGATTATGCTTCAGTTCAAAAAATTTCATCATCGTGTTTAGATTCTGAACCTGTTTCATTTTAGCCGATAGAAATGTGGTGCTGACAGATTTACCTTGTTGTGGTAGTTATTATGAAAGGCTTGTGTAGTTGGGCTTCCATCTAGACAACTACTTATAATTTACTAAATGTCTCTTAAACACATACAATAATCTCCATCCCAAATTATAGATATTATATTTTTGAAAAAATTAATCATTTAATCTGTGTAGCTTTAACTCAGTTTAACCCAATCTAAGTTAGTTTTTATAATTTTAACTCAGTTATAATTTAGTTTATAATTTTGATTTGATGCAACTCAATCTCTATAATTTTAATAATTTAAAATATTGATTTCTATATTTTTAGAAAATATAATTATAAAGATTAAAATTATTTTAAAATTATACTTTTAATAATATTTTTAATTTTAAAATTTAAATTATTTTAAATGTCAAAATAATTTAAATATTTATAATTTAATTTTTTAAAATATAAGGATCAATATTTTAAATGGTTAAAATTATAAAAAATGATTTATTTCAAGTTAAAATTTAAGAACTAAGTTATAACTGAATCAAAATTATAATAATTGAGTTACAATAAGTTTAAGTCTAATGATTAAGTTATAATTGAATTAAAATTATATAAATTAAATTATTAATTTTCTCTAATTTTTTTTTATTGAAAAGACGCCTTCATCACAAACAAGACGAATAAGGGGCAAGTAGGGGTGCTCCCCCCATAATTTTCACACCCCCCTCTCATATTTCACCTTATTTAATTTTCCCTCTTGTTTATCACTCTAGATCCTTCCCTGATCACAAACATAAAACATGTTCATACGTCTCTATTCCTGTAATATTCATCTGATGTTATGAGACTATTAGTGATGTAATTGAAGTTGTTGGCTTCCATTTCCATTTTCTAATATAATATGTTTAAGAAGAACTATAAAACTGATGAAAGTAACTTGGTGCATCTTCTTGTTAACTTAAATGAAAATTAACTAACCTTTCCCTCTGGATCAACCTCTAAGGTTCTAGGACACCTTTGGTACCAAAAAATCCTGAAGTTGAAAATGGAATTAAAAAAGGAATCCTAAGTGCTCTTTTAGTACTCAATTATAATCCAAAATGATGATATAAACAAGGGAAAATTACTTTGCAGGTCCATATGCATAGCTGCCTTGAATTTTAAATTAGATATTTATAGTTTATTTTGTTTTAATCAGACTTCTACAATTTGATCCGATAGATTTATTAATAGTTAAAATTCTTAAATTTTTTTATAAAATAAAATTAAGGACTTTTATATTTTTTACTAACATATTATATAACTTTAGAATTAATTATATATTTTTTATCATTCAAAATAAATAGATCCTAGTATAATTTTTGTTTGGTAGGAATGGATTAAGCATGAAAAAAACGAGAAGCAAGAAAAAAAAAACCATAATTCCAAAGGAGGGGGAAAAAAACAACCCTCCACTCGCTCTCAATTCTTCTTTGTAGCTGCCAAATCGCAGCCAGAATGGAAATTTGACCGAAAACCGAAATTCATCTCAGCAATAATGATAGAAAATCAAATTACTATTAGAAAAAAAGAAAAATCAAATCAAACCTAGCATTGGAACAAGAAAAAAATAGGGAGAAGATAAAGTTAAAGGAAAAAGGTAGAATAAAAAAACAATTGATGACTCCCTATTTTATGTTATAATTGACATATTTTTAATTATATTTTGAGAGTCACCAATGAAAAAGAGAAACACTTTCTTACTTTATAAAGAAAAATTAACTAATTGCCTTATCTGAATTTATTGAAATATTTTTCAGAAAATTGTTTAAAAAGATAAAAATTGAAGTAAGCAAAGATTCTACTCATATTTATTAATTGTGGACAGGTGAGACATGACAACATCAAAGCAAAAAAGAGAAAAAGAGACAAGAAAAAGTTATTTTTTAGCCTAAGACACAAAAGCAAAAGTTCCTACACACTGTCAAAATTTTTAGAATTGCTCACTGGTGCCGTGATACCATTGAAGGAGTGCTATGGCATTAGACGAAAATGCAGAAAATGCATAGTTTCATTTAGGGGTGTTCAAGATGTACCCGGCCCGACTGACCCGTACCGGCCCGTGCTCTTCCCGATCATATTGGGATGGGTCTATCCCGGCCCGAAAAAATTCAGGACAGGACTTTTATGGGATAGGGCTAAAATAGGGACGGGACGGGATGGGACTCGGGCCAACCATCGGGACGTCCCGCCCCGTCCTGTTTATATTCAGCATATATATATATATATATATATTTTAATTTTAACTATTATTTATTTATTTTAATTAAAATGATTTTTAATGGTATTTTTCAATTTTCAGCTTTAATCCCAATGACAGCTAAGACACGCACGCAGGAACAGGGAGTTCATTTTTTATTTTTTCCTTTCCAGTTTCCACTTTCCAAACCCAGACTTCGGTTTCCAGCTCTCCCTTTCAAAGCTCCAGCTTCAAACCTCCAACCCTCAGCCGCAGATCAGTCGCACAGCTCAGCAGACCTTTGGTTTCAGTCCTTCCAACTAGAGGCTACCTCCATACCACAATCCGCGCGTTCCTCCCTGAATCTCCTTTCTGAACTGTTATTATTCCCTTCGTCGCAAACGCTTTCAGATCTGCAAGGTTATTTGATGGACGCAGTTGCAAGGTTATTCTCTTCTACCCAGATCTGGTGCTACCTCAAATCCATCGTTCTCTTCTACTCAGATATGCAAGAATGCTGAGAAATAAATTACTATTCATATTACGAACAATAAAAAAAGATGACGATGATAATAATGATGATTCATTGTGTGCGTGGAGTACAGCAATTTATGGACTGTCATGTCAAATGGAAGACACAAATAAAAACAGGACAAAAGGGGTCTTGATTGATAGAATGGAATAACAGGACAACGATCTGTATTTTCAGCCTGGGAATAATATATGAAATTTGAAAACTTGAAAACGAAATATTATGGTTTCCCTGATTGAGCATATCTCAATGTGTGTGTATAATTAAAAAATAATATACCATATTGTGATAAAGAATCAAGGCCGAAGAAGTTTGGAGACCTAGATTAAAATTATTATAGAGGCTTCTTAAGTTATGATATAATTAATGAATTATATAATTTTCATTAAGACTAGCTAGGTTTCACGCTCATTTCAATAGCGTTGGGTAAAAAAAGTTCATTTTATTATTACTTTTTTGAATTTCAAAACATACACAGAGCCATTTTTCAATGAATGAGTGATAACCAATAAGATATTACCGATAAAAATAACAAATAATATATCACACATTCTCAATAACTAAGATCATAATAAATTAATTTCTAAAAGAAAAGATCAATAGATTTTTCTATTTTATGAGTTACCTCAGTGGCCTATATACAGGTAATTAAACACAGCCATGTTAAGAATGCTAGTTGAGAATTAAAAAATGGGACTTTGTTTAATGAAAAAATAATGAATAAAATCATGAATATACTATCAATAGATTTCACGGTTCCATTGCTAAATGAAAATACTATTCATATTTGAAATATATATGCCCATCTATATACTATTTATATTTGTAGATTGACAAAAGTAGATACTTCATTACAAATGCAGTATATATATCCATGTTTTAATTAACTTGATTATATTAATTTGCGTGTTAGAATTCTATTTAACAAGAACAAGAAGTGGTGGTGCTTCCAACTGAACCTGTTACATGCACAATTTTATTTGCATTCTTTGGATTAAGTAAAGCAAATATTGACCATATAAATTATTTAAGTATTTGGTTATATGATTTAGATTATTTGCATGTGTGGAAATTTAATGCCCTTGATTTTTATGCATGCCTATTTGAATATTTAATATGAGGTTTTAATCAGTTAAGGGTAGTTGTTGTTGCCGCTGCTGGCTAAATCTACATTGCGAAGAAAAATGGCCACTACACCCACCCTTCAAGAAAATGTAGAAATAATAGAAGGAGATCCTGAAAATGCTTCATCACCTAATACTGAAGAGGAAAATGAGTCAAAGAATGAAGGAGAAAGTGGAAGAAAGAGACATAAATTAGCTGTTTAGGCGCATTTTGAAAGGTTGCCATTGGACAAAACTAATGAAGAACCCCGTGCTAAGTGCAAGTATTGCCTAACAACAATTGGTTGTGACTCTACAAGACATAGGACAAATGGAATAAGAAAACATATAAAAAGATGTCCCAAAAATCCGAACAAAGCAAACAAGTTGGCACAGTCTTTGCTATTGGGCTCTCAATTAGGGTCATCTAAAACTTTGAGTCATCATCTATTTAATCAACTCGATTGCAGACAAGCCATTGCTATATTTGTGATATTAGATGAAATGCCTTTTAATGTTGTGGAAGGTGATGGTTTTAAAGAGATGATGAGAAGGTTAGAACCTCACTTTCAAGTCCCTTCAAGAGCGACAGTTACTAGAGATTGCTACAAGTTATACCTTGAAGAAGCTAGAAAGTTGAAAAGGTATTTTAAAAAATCTCAAATCCGTGTTTCTCTCACTACTGATACTTGGACTTCCAATCAAAATACCAGTTATATGTGCTTAACTGCTTACTGGATTGATGAGCATTGGACATATTAAAAGCGAATCTTGAATTTTTGTGTAGTTAAAAATCATAAGGGAGAAACAATTGCTCAAGAAATTGAGAAATGCTTGCTGTTTTGGAGCATTGATAAGGTGTTTACAATCACAGTTGATAATGCTTCTTCTAATGGCACTACTTTGGCATCTTTAAAGGAGGTCTTAAGGCATTAGAATGGTTTAGTTTGTGATGGGGAGTTCTTACACTTGCGTTGTTGTGCGCATATCTTAAATTTAATTATTTCTGATGGTGTGAAGGATATGCACAAGTGTATTGAAGGCATTCGGAATGCCATTAAATATGTGAGATCTTCTCTATCAAGGTTTCATAAATTCAAGGAGCTTGTGGAAAAAATG